ATACTTGGCTTTTGTGCTCCATGCGCGCAATGTGCTCTGAGTTTTTCTTATTTCCTGCTGCTTGGTTGGATTTAAATGCCGAATTTTCAATGCAGCACACATCATCCCGCAGCCAAGGACATGTGCTCACCTGTATTTATATTTGCGCCTGTATCTCCCCAGTGCGAGTGTGTAATCACTTGTACTTAATATGCAGATGATGACAAAGTGACAATCAAACCGATTCCAGTTCGCCTGCCACTTTTGCGTTCCCGTGTGTCCCCCTCCCTTTTGCCCGATGTTATGCGAATCGGATTATTATTATCATTGTTATCGTTATCGTAAAAAGCAAAGGCACAATGCGCATTTTCCTCTTCCGCTAAAGGCGCAGATTCGCCCGGGGCATAAACGCATTAGACCTCGTCTCTGTCGTCACTTTGAATCCTAAAAAGGCAATTTGTTTGCATTATGATTTTTATCTTTCTGTTCAAATTGTTTGTTTTCATTTCGAATTCCAATGCAAAATAACATATAAAGCCAATTTAAAGATTTGCGCTTGAAAGACGCGATTTTGTCTGATTTCCGTTTCGCGGCAGAAACTAAAGCTTAAAACTTCAGAAAACGTAACTGGGAATTGAGTGAAAAGAAGTCACAACAATATATTAAAATACAAAAAATAAAATTGTACCTAAAATAGTAACTTCTTGTCTAGATATAAGCATAATTTAAAATAATAAATGAATCGTAAAATATATGATGATGTTTTACCTCGCACTTACCTGAACTCTGTAAATCTGTTGCGTATGAAATACAGTATCCGTGGAATCCAAGCCGCATATAAAAAACGTATATTGATGCCTTAATAGCGGTGGTTAATCATATTTGTAACAAAACCATTACGATGTTAAAAAGTTTCTCATTTTTTAACTCACCCAAATTCCTGCCATCAGCCACACACTCATGGCGATCATTTCATTTGGAAATGCACATTTTCATCTGGCATGTGTTAATGCACTGGGTGGGCTACAGTCGGCATGCAGCTGAGTTTGTGGTATAACTTCATAAAAATGCCAACCGGTTGCACCGCGAGATTTACTGCAGGCAGCGGAAAAATGCAGAGGAAACCAAACCGTTTCCAGTCAAAAGTTTGCCAGCGATAAATGGACTGACGAGCGCGCAAGGATAACAGCAGGATACATCGTTCAGGAATACAAATGTGGGGGAGCATGTTTGTTTTACCCAATTTGTTGCTGCCCTTTTGCGTTTTTGCTCTATGGTTTTTGTTTTTCGGTGAGAACCCACTCGAGGCACAAAAGCGAAGGAAAAAAGGGCGCCTTCACACTGGGAAGGGTGCGCCATTTAAACTGAAATGCAACAGGAGGCCGCGTGTTAATGCTGAAAAAAAAGGACAACAAACCGAGGACCCTTTTGCAGAAAAGTGGCAAAGTCGTGGCGAACTCTGAACTCCAGCTAAAAAAAAAAAAAATAAGAAGGAAGAAGTGGGGTTGCTGCCAGCTGGATGTCGCGGTCACTCTTCATGCTTTCAGCTGAGCCTTTTCAGATCCCTTTTTCATTATCCCGGACCGAGTCTGCGAGGAATTTTCTTGGGCGGGCCAGCAACAAATGTCTGGGGCGAAAGTCACGCGCTGAATTTAATGCCCAGCCAATGCCCCCAAAAACGAGGCGTGTCAATGACTCTGGGTCACCAAATTGTTGTCGCAGGCAATCCGATTTCTGGCATCTCGCTGATTGCCCAACACAAGTTGATGGCCAACTTCCAGTTCTCTACTTTCGATTTCGATGTTACTCATACGCCCCGTCGCACGCAAAGCAATTGATGGATGGATAAAAATCTGTGGCACTTCCAATGCCAATAGAAAGCAACCGCATGAATGAAAGTTCTTTAGCTGTCGGAGAAGTGCAACCAAATTTCAGCAAAGGATAAATAATTTGGAAAACCAGATCCTTAATGTATTAAAACATTATGGCGATTCATTAGTCGTTAAACTTAAAAAAATAAACGTTTAATGCAAGAAATTCATGAAATTTATAATCTTTGAATAATAACTTCATTCCCCTTTAACCATTAAATTTAATGATAAAGGAATGTGCGCTCTTAAAGAAAATACTAAATGTTTAAATTTCTAAAATTTGGGAAAGTCTTTAAAATACGTGGACTTTAAAAATTGTGTTAAGTTTAAAATTTAACTTAGGAATTATAGGAATTTTGTTGTGTTGAAATTGTATTAAAACTAAAATTTAAACAAACGTATTCTCATTTTAAAGGGTACAATTAAGAAAAATTAGTTTACATATTAATATTATTATTAATGTTTGTCAATTGTAAAAGCTATTCCTATAAAAACAACATTTTTGCCTAAAAAAACTACAATTTAACAAACGAATGCATGAAATCCACTCCTTTTCATCTGGAACCGCCATACACATCATTTCTGTTGGAACTTAATTAGAATTTGGCTTGGTCTGTAAAATTCCCTTGTTTTGCCGCCGGAGCCCGCATATGTTGCGCAAATTTAATTGCTCTACAAAGCCGCAAAATAGACAAACAAAAGTTTCCGCACCGCCTACACACCATCGAAAACAGTTCGGAAGGAGTTGAACATGAACACAAGACACAGATTTCGGCACAAAAAACATAACAGAAGGGCCCGCAGTGGCATTCGCAGTCTGCCGAGGCAATTTCAACTTTTCCCAGTGTGTACTTAATGGGAAATGACTTTATTGTAAGCCGGCTTGAAAGCCTCTAAGCGCCAATTTTCAACACTTGCGCTATTTTATGAAATCTCCTCTTAGCAGGTTAAAAATGAATAGAATTATGCAAAACACAACGAATTTGTTCCACAAAGAAAACCGCTTTATTTAATATCCATCTTCTGGCGGAAGTATTGATTCAATATTGTGGCAGTAGGCAACCAATGATCGGTCCTTGTCATCTGGGAATATTTTCCCTAAAAACTCGAGCAGACCAGGCTGATTTTGGACTATTTCAGCATACTCCTCAAACGCTATAATGCCATCTTTATCCGTGTCGAATTTGGCGAATAAAAACTCGCACATATCCTGCTTGAAAACTGTGTTTAAATGCAGCAATATTTAAACACACTTTAACTTACCGCTCGGAGTTCATTAATCTCATCATCATCATCGCCGTAGAAGAATTTCTCGATGGCCAAGCCAACCACCTCACGATTTAGAACCACTGTACCAGCGCTTGTGTAAACCTAATGTTCATAAAGGAATTTAATAAATGTTTCGTGAGATTAATAGAGAGCAAGGGTAGTGAACATATTTTCTTGCATTTTTACGACAGGAATTTTCGTAACGAAAATATTGTTAGTCAATAATATACATACTATTCAAATATATCAGTTATAAGGGATCGAAGTATCGCAAGTTTTCACACCTTTTAAAAAATCAAATTTAAATTGTTGTGCAGCAGTGCCACGATTATCAAATAACTGTTATTATTAAAATGTATTATTCAATTTGGATAATTTGTCGTGTGCTAAAGAATATTTGTCGAGTAAATATTTCTCTGCCAGAGACTTGACATAGCAAATTGAATTTTTGAAATAAACTTGTGCTCCATAAACGCTTTTATCCTTTTACTCTGTTACCCTTTAAAATTACCATTCTTTAATTGAAACCTCAAAACTCGTAACTCAACAAGAGCAATGTAATGTAGTTCGAAAATGAAAAATTTGGAAATATTCCCACCTGAAATGCAAATTTTATTCGCTCCTGCAGCTTTCCGGTGAAGAACACGGAGAACAGTCGCATCCAGGCCTCTGGAGAGACGGAACGACCGTCATGCGTGATGTTCATCGAAATGCGGTCAATGATGGTTACGTCGAAGATCCCGAAGCTGACGAGGAACAGATTGTACAGCTGTCCAGTGGACATCATTCGGGATCCGTTGTTTAGCGCGTACTTGTAGAACACGATCAGCAAGCTGATCACTTCAGTGGAGGAGAATTCCGTGGAGGCGGTGAAGCTCTTTATCAGACCATTATATAGTGTCAGAAACTTGTTGTTGGCCATGTCATCTAGGGTGAGGTCAATGCGATTCATTGTAGTGTTCCTTGGTTTTCTTAATTAACAATATTTTTTGTTTTTATTTTTTTTTTGTGAGCTTTGATTTATTGAGTGTGTGTGTGCTGAAAATTATGAACGTATGAGGCGCTGGCCTACTTAAAAGTGTGTGGGTTGTGCAAGACAAATTGCAAATAGATTGGCTAAGTCGTAGCAGGAGCCCGCAGACTCGCAGAGAATGTAAGGAGCGCAATTTAAAAGCAATAAAACAAGGCCGCGACATAAAAAATACATCAGCCACGCTACATGGACTACATCTGTCCCCCATTTCGAATAAATATTTGAAACAAACGCAGCTCACAAAAAGGCTGAGGCAAAAGCTGAAAGCTGTGCGCATGAGAAACGCGAATATAATAATCCAAACAAAAGCGCTGAGATGGGTGTAAAGCCTTCCATGTGGAAATTCGGCGGAAACGGCTGTGTAGCCATTTTGTTTGGGGTAACAAATGTTCGGAATCTCCCCCCACCCCCCCTCCCTTTGTTGTGTAATTGTATGGCCCACACTCACACATGCCACGCCCCCAAAAAAAAACCAAAGAAATGAGTAGGCGGGTGAACCGCTCTACACGGCATAATAACAATAAAATAAAAGGGAAGAGCCTAACGGGAAAAAAGAAGGAAGAGCGGCAAGGATTCATGCTCCTTAATGTGCCCCAAAGTTGACATCGCCAAGTGTTGGCGGATTTACAGGCGAGTCGGGCTGGATTTAGGTATACAGTTTTGATTGATATATTTTTCGTACGGTGTTTGGAAGAGACTAACGGCATAAATTTTTTAAGTAAGACAAATCGTGCGGAAAGAAAATTGGAAACATTTTAATTTAAATAAAAACGTTTAGGCAGGCCGACGATACTGAAAGTGGTTCACATATTTGTGAATCAGTGAAGCATGCCAAGAAATCATCTTTCATTCAATCATAACAAACAGAAGCACAAAACTTTAATACACGTCAAAGCAACATACTCTGTACAAACCCTAGACTATCAGATAGCCAAACTTAAAAGTACTTGAAAATTCTGTACATAAAACACCTGTATAAGCCATGGAAAATCTAGACTCCACGATCGACAGTATGGAAAACAGTCGGTTCGCCGCTCTCTATAGCGGGTTGATCAAGGAGATAGCCGCAACTTCGAAAATGTCTACATTGGACATCACTTGTTTGCTCTGTGTTTACTACAAGTTCGTTAAGTTCAACGGGCCTACAGCCAAGCAAATGAGAAAGAGTCAGTTCTTCCAGATCTACCTGGTGCTGTTCAATGTGTCCAATGTCCAGGTCATCGAACGGACACTTCTGGCCATCACGAAGGACACGCGGTTCGTGAGTCCACATGCCTGGATTGAGCTCTTCAGCCTCTACACAACCGATGACCTTAATGTTCGCATGCGCTTCGCTTTCGACGTGGGTTTTTTTTTGCGGATCAGCAAACATATTTACTAACAAATTATGTTCCTTTTTCAGGTCTACGACACGAAAGGCACCGGAGTTATCGATCGCGAGCAGGTGGGCGTGGCTTGCGAGAGATTTTTCAGTGAAGGCGAAGACGAGGATGAACTTATTGAACTCAGGCAGGTAAGTAAATAAATAATTTAATAAAACACCAAAGGACCCTTTAATCATTTAACACTTGGATATTACAATTTTTGTTTTCAGGACATGACTGAGTTTATAATGAAGAAATTTGATGTGGACAAAGATGGAGTAATTTCTTTTGAAGACTACACTTCCGTTGTGTCTCAGCAGCCCATTTTGGTTGAATTCCTAGGCTGGCTATTTCCGTCAAACGAGGAGAAGGATTTAATGGCCCATGTCATAAATCTTGACTCGCTACTTAATTATTCCAGCCCGGAAAAAAATAAACATTTATTACTTTAATATTTATTCCCGTTACCCGTAGAGTAACAGGTAAAAGGAAGCGTTTCCGACCCTATAAAGTATATATATTCTTGATCAGGATCAACAGCCGTCTGTCTGTCCGTCTGATCTCGGAAACTATAAAAGCTAGAGATTTGGGACTTGGCATTCAGATTCTAGTAGTTCCTATGCAGCGCAAATTTATTTTAAAACACAGCCACGCAGCCAACAATTTCACCAATTAAGACAGTGAAAAGTGACAGTGAATGCAAGCTAATTAAGAAATGTTAAAAATGAGAAGGCTTTGAGAATGGTTGTCATTTAGAACAAATATACCAAACTCAAAACTTCACAACACTATTAGACACAACATTTAAAACAAGATAAAGTATATAAATAGTTATAACAAAAAAAGTATAAAAACAAAAACACAAACTAAATAAGTAAAGGATTAAGTCATGGAAAATCTAGACGCCACTATCGATAGCATGGAGAACAGTCGCTTTTCCGCCCTTTATGGGGCTTTGATCAAGGAGTTGGCCGCAACTTCGGAAATGTCCCAAACGGATATCACCTGCTTGCTCTGCGTTTACTACAAGTTCTGCAAGGCCAATGGGCCCAACTCCAAGAAGATGACGAAGAAGCAGTTCTACCAGATCTTCTTGGTGCTGTTCAACGTGGCCAATGTCCAGGTCATTGAACGCACTCTGCAGGCCATCACAAAGGACAACAAGTATGTCAGTCCACAGGCCTGGATACAGCTCTTCGATCTTTACACAACGAAGGACATCCAAGTGCGCATGAAATTTGCCTTCGAGGTTAGTTATGACGATCCTTAGCCACATTTGAAGTTTAAGCCAATTTTGTTTAGGTCTATGACACGAAAGGAACTGGCGTTATTGATCGAGAGCAAGTCGGCACGGCTTGTGAGAAATTTTTTTACGGTGAAGACGAAGATGAACTCAACGAACTTAAGGCGGTAAGCGATTTACAGAATATAACATATATTTTATTTGTTTTGTATAACAAGTCAATAGAAAGTGCAATATATTTCTAGTTGCTATATTATTTTCATTAATTTAAATAATTAATCTTTTAGGACATGACCGAATTTCTCATGAAAAAGTTTGATCTGGACAAGGACGGTGTTATTTCTTTTGAAGACTATTCTACTGTTGTTGAACAGCAGCCAATTTTAGTCGAGTTCTTGGGCTGGCTTTTTCCGTCGAGGGAAGACAAAAATCTCATGGCCCACTGCGTTAATCTGCAACTGAATCTAAATTAAATATTTTTATTCAAGCTATTTGTGATGGAGTTTTGTACCAGAACCTATGGCCACTTTTTATACCCTTTCAGAGGGTATTATAATTTCAGTCAGAAGTTTGCAACGCAGTGAAAAATACATATCCGACCCTATAAAGTATATTTACGCACCAACAGTGTGTGCATAGGAGACTACTAAAATATATAGGTTAGCTGAATTGAAAATCTGCTGTGATGGTTTAATGTTTAATAACACTTTATAAATGTTCCCTTTCGTCACGCCGAAATAAAAAATGCCTGTGTAGGCAAAATATTTGGATGAAACGGTCCGAATGGGAACCTTTAAAGAGTGTAATTATTTAGTCGAATGCTTATTTATTTTTCGTCACAAAATATGACATCAGCTAATTTGTACGGTGAAGGTGCGTTCGTCAAGACTTCTTACCTCGTTATTAGGTGTTTTTGTTTTATTTACGGAAGTAAATCAAATTTTAAATGTTTTCAAGAATATTTAATTTTTACAAAGCTGCAAGTGTGAGAATCATTGATTTATACGTATATATCTGAATTGCCCGAACTAATTGACCCGATGAAACACTTGCAGAGCTCGGGGGCATTTTCAATAAGTGAGAAGGCAAATCGAGCAGAAATCAAACTGTTACACCCAAGGAGCAATAAGGGCTTTTCCACTTTAAAGCTGAATGAAAGCGATAATAAGTCCCCAGAGCTCACCTGCTCTGCGGGCATTTGTGGCCGGCTGGGGTCGTCGACCTAATTCCAGGCATCCCATAATTATATGCTTCGCCACAGCAGCAAATGCCACAGTGGATGGGACTCAGTGGCAGGTCGAAAGTGGAAGTCGGTTAAGTAGCTCATTAACTTCAATGCGTTTGATTACATTACATACGGTTTCTGCGGTGTTCGAGCCAAACAATTTGAGAATTGTGTGTGTCGGCCCCTCTTTTCTGCCCTCTTCACCCTCCCCATCTGACAATTTGCCCGATTCAATTGGCATTTGCAAGTATTTGGGACATGGATAAGCCACTGAATGCTCACGTATTTGCCATGATTTGGCATTTATGCAGTGGCATTACATACATTATGTGATGCGAATTGATTTACATTAAATGCTGCCAGCAGGCGGCTTAGATCCAATCCAGTTTCCCACCAAAATCCCAAAAACCCTGCTATCGACATCGGTGCTAGGTCACAGCAAGTTAAAGTTTCATTTAAAATACGAGTTAAGGGGTTAGCTTGATCGACTGGCTGCAGTTGACAACTGCCGGACTCGAAACCCCATATCAATGGTCTAAGCCAGCATGTGGCCCAGCCCAAGGACTTGAGTTGGCCAGAACTGGCAAGCCGAGTTGGCCTTTTGTTGAACCGTCCGCCGTCGGCCAACATGTTTGAGTCTCGCTGGCATCAACATTAATTATCCCTGATAGTAATCATGCAATTTGTACGTGAGCCCGAGCCAAGCCAGCGCTCCTCGGGCCATCGGCATCCATGCTGCGGTCTTTATTGTGGCATTAACAGCAGCATCCGCATGTCCTGCAGCCCCGGCAGCATCATTATGCTCATTATTGTCGTCAAAGGCGTGCATGGCGTTCCGCCGGAGGCACAGCCATTCCCGGATTAATGGGAATCGAGGAGCGGGCACGACGGTCTGCAGATCCGGGGACAATGCGCGTTTGATGAATTGCATTAGGACATGTATGTAATTACAATCAATTAACCCAGGCGCGCATGTGGTGCCCAGCAATTTATTCTGCAATTTAAGGGACAGATGAGCAGGTCTGCGGTGGCCGCAAGGTGAATCTTTTAACTCCACATACCTTGCTATTAAAAATAGTACATTATAGTTATCATATTCTTTTAAATGCTTCTGAGAAATGTATGTACTAAATCAACATTTAATTGCTTGCTTTTAGCTTAAATCATACTAACAGTAAAAATTGTATGCTTATGTTTTTTAAAAGTTTCTGAAATTTAGCTTTTAAAAATAAAATTTGACAAAGGTTTAATAGTTTATTAAAATTTGGAGTGGTAATCTGGAGATACATATAGATTCCATAAACAGATACTTTTTAATAAAATATAAAAATAATATTTAAAAACACAGAAGGAAACGCCAGATTAACAAAGCGTAACAGTAAAAAGCATTACATATAAGCGAACATCTTTTGTCGACTCAAAAAAAGAGGGCAGGAGTAAACACTTAAATCTAGATTTAAACTGTGGTCCACCACTAATGACGCACACAGAAAACCCCAAGTCCGTAGTTGTATCTCCTTCGAAATCTAACCGCAGTCCATTGACAATCTTCGGTGATGGCGACAAGTGACTTTTGGGCTATCAATGGCCAAGCCGAGTTGGCTAAGCAAACAGACCATTTAGCTCAGTGGACAATGCAAACTTTGAAGCCAAACGGGGCGGAAAAGTCGACCCGCTGCAATTTTCGATTAAAATTCCAGTTTGCAATTCAATTAAACACTAATTAAAAGACATTTTTCCGCCCAGCGTTCTCTTTGACAACTTGCCTCACTCGCTCGCCACCCCTCAACACTCTTACCCGGGAAATTCTCGCCTTTGTCTCGGGGTTTTCCCCGAGGATCTCGGGGCTGTCAAAGCGGCAGCGGACGTTAGGCCACCCACTCGGGATAAGGCGGGTCGACAAATGCGCACAAACTGTGATAAATGAAGGCGAATCGAGGGGCTAGTAGGTGCAGCACGGAGTTGGGGTCCTGGCATAATGAATGCCATGGAGGAGCCGGGAAGATAAAACACAAGAAAAACGATCCAAAGCAAAGGGACAGAGACAGAGACAGAGACAGAGAGACAGGAGGCCAAGGAATCAAAGCCAAGTATTTTTTGCTGCATTTCTGCACCGGCTTTTGGCTTTGACTTTCTGTGGGACAGTGTAAGCGAGTGAGTTAATTTCTGGCCAACTCAAAAGCTTCACGGAATTTGAGTTCGTTAAAGTAAATTTCATCTCCGCCTCCTTTTGGCTCTGTGTCCTTTTCCGGGTGGCAACTACTTTGTGGCAAATTGAGAAGGGAAACACAAACAAAACCGGTTAAAAGCCAAAAGCGTTTGTCAATTATATCCCAGGCAGGAGGCACAAACTGTGTGTGTCTTTACCCAAGTTTTTTTTTGGAAAACTTCGTTAAGTTTGGAGCTTACTAGTTTTAAGGTGAGTTGCGGAAGCTGTTGTGTTTTGAGTAACTGAGAGACCAATTGTTATTGAATACTTTTTAATTAATTAAATTAAGTAATAAAAATTTGCCAATATTATGTGAAGCACTCTTTATATTTTTTAGTTATATAGTATTTTTATGAAAAGGCCAAACTAAATTTTGTACAAAAAATGTAAGAGGTCAGCTATTATTACCGTTTGAATTTTAGTTCGCTTGTTTAACATTCCTAAAAATATTTCAGTTACCCAAACTTATTAAATATTTCGTTGTAAAACCAACGTGTCTGAAGGGATACATATGCGAAAATATGTGAACAGAATTATTCTATCTCTAATATGCCAAATCGATTTGTCTGTAATACTTATCGGTATTTGACAACAATTAGCTAAAAAGGTATAACTAATTTACACTAAATCAAACTCTTTCTTCATTGTTGTTCCATGCTTACAACTAAGTTCAATCTCCTACTCTGCGTTATCAATTTCATTGACTAACTAGCACAGCTTCCTCGAATCAATTACCAGAGCTCAGAACTTTGGCTAATTACCCGCAATTTTGTGGCG